CATCGCAGTTTCACAGACACGTGTTAGCCAGCGCATGCCTTGTTCGCCTAATGCCTTGAGCATCTCAGGGCGGATTTCGTCAGTTGCAGCAGCTTTTCCATTTTTCAAGCTTTTCACAGCTTGTGTAATTTCATCTACAAAGATAGTAATATCCGTTCCCTGCTGCTCTACTCGCGAATCTTCCTGCGGTTGCTCGGGGGTTAAGGTGTTCTTCAAAGTACTCATCCCATCGCCGAAGAATGTCCTCGTCATTGGTAAGGCAGTCTTCGGATCTGTCTTTCAAGACTCTTAGAGTACCCTTCTTGTCACCTCAGAGTCGGCGAATGGTCTGTCAGAAGACGTTGTTTGCCGCGTGAAAACTGGACTCCAACACCTCACCGAAATTTTCCCAGCAATGAGCACTGGCTTTCGCCAGTGCTTTCGCTGCCACGTTGCGTGCCTTGACATATCGCATGCGAGCAGAAGGCTCCTTGTTTCTCAGCTATTTCTTAAACGCTGCCTTCTTCTCTTTAACTGCCAGTAGTACCTATCGTGTCCACCATGAAGATCTTTTCTAATCTCCAGGTGGCAGGCCAACCCGTTTTAATCTGCAGAATTCGGCGCCAGCCTCGAGTATTTCGCTCTTAAAGAGCTGCCACTCGGTTTCCACATCAGTTGTCATCATCGGGATCTGTTCGAACCGTCGTGCGGTGTTTGCCCTCGTGTCCACCGAAGATGATGTTTCCCGTTTGATTCTCTGGTTTCAGCTGCCACCAGATCTTCGCATGATGCTCCATTTCGTGCAACGCAATCTGCCAGCAACCGGGTGGTGGTCTGTTGGTATCTCTGCGCCTTTCTTAAAGTGAACAGCCATTACTGAGCGTCTTAAGTCAGACGATAACGATTATAAAATCGACCTTCGACTTTTGTGCGGAAGCTTCACGGTACCAGGTATACAGATACACTCTTAGATGCTCGAAGAAAGTTCAAAATGGACTGTCCGTTGTTTGCATAGAACCCGCACTAACTTCATCCCGTTATTTTTGAGGTCGGTAGGCCGTTTGTTGCAATTACGCCGTTCCACTTTTCAACGTCTTCTCGGATATGCGCATTAAAATCGCCCATGAGTATAGGAAAATCTGCATTCGCACTTCGGGCAGAACACAGTGTACATTACTCAAGGAAGGTACTATATTTTCTCTCCAGATCGAACGCATAGACGTGTATGGAGGTCGACGGTTTGGCCTGTTGTAGCTTCTGTTGGAGGATTACCAGCCTTCTGCTGAGAGGCTTGCAATGAATTCTTCTCGCTGCGACGTTGGGTTGTGCCAGAGCACCAACACTAGCCAAAAGGCGCGTCGTTATATCGACACCTGAGTAGAGTGGCTTTCATCCGCTGAGGTTCAGGATTTTAGAGCCCTGGCGTATCGTTGATGATAGGCCAACAATTTCGAGTTTGTACTTTATGGCCTCATCAATAAACTGTTGTTCTTTCCCTCTGAGTGAGGATATGTTACAACTTCTGAATTCAAGCTCCCACTGGCGGTGTCGTTCTCGTGGACCCTTTTCTGACGTGCTATAACGGCATCGCACTGTCTGTCTCCCCTGATCTGAAGGGGTAGCGACTCCGTTGCTGACTGGTATCTTCGTTGTCGGTCGTTTCGTCAGTCTTTGTCTGCCCTTGTTGTGCTGCTACCTCCTCGAATTGCGTAGGGAAATGAGCAGGTTCTGATCGTCGTTTTTTTGCAGTCTGCCTTAGTCCTCCAACAGCCTGCGCGTCCTTGGTAACCCGGGCGACGACCGAACTGTTATAGTTTTCGATGACGTCAGTAGCATGAGTGGTAGGCGGCTAAATTGTGCCGAGATTTGTCGCGGCCTCCGACCCTTTCAGAAACCGGTTTGGGACCGGCATCGGCGGAGTTCCTTCTCCTGTTCGAAAATTTTTATTGCGATGGTTTATGCATGTGTATATGTTGCGGGTGGGGAGGGGCG